TTATTTGTGTATTTATTTATTTATTGTTTTTGCAGGTTTCGCCCTCCATAGAATACATCATTGTCAATCAATCAATCGAATCTCAAAATCTGATCTGATTCTGTAGGCCACGTTGAGTCAAATGACTGCTTTAAATTTCCACCCAACTATATTCCACTATTTTAAATTTTCTGAAACGACATTTACATTGACTGTGGTATTTTTTGCATCTTTTGAACCTTTGAACTTTGGCCTAAAATCATAGGTCAGTCATATTGACTGTCAGCCATTTTAACTTTAGTCATAAAATGCAGTAATTTCGTCATAAAATTTGGCAGTATGTTCTGAGGTAAGTAAAAAAAAAAAAGTTTGGCCCATATGCAATACCCATTGTTTTTTAAATACTGTATATGTCTGTAACAATATCGTTTCAATTAGGTGACAGCGCCCCTATTGGTCAAAATGGATAAGCTTTTGTATAGTAAATAATTCTACTTATGACTTCTAAATCTTTTTTTAATTATAATTCTCAGCAGGGACGGGTAGTCAACTTAGAAAATACTTGAATATGGTGCTGGACCAGTACTTGCTATTTTTATTTTACACTGGCCGATTTGTAATTGTACACAGCTATGCTGCAAATGCTTTGGCAATACAAATGTAACGTTTGTCAGACCAATAAAGCACAGTAAAATAAGAAGAAAGAGAACAATGCATTGATTCTATATTAACTGCTTAATCCATCTGCTCAGGTAAGGGAGTAAGTGGCCTCCAAACGCATCCTCGTTTTACCTTTCTCTGGACAACTTGCTGCTCCTGGTTAGGAGGAGGATCTATATGCATGAAGAGGAGGAGGTCACAGCCCATGCATCCCATCCACTGTGCGAGTAGTGATAGTGTACACTCAGTGTGTAGGTGACAGCAGGAGTGGCTATCAGATCTCTATCTCTCCTCCATCACGCTGCTCTCCTACAAACCGCGTGTTCCTCCCACAAAACGCTCATTTAGGCTGATATACAGTCTATTCGTAATGTGTCAATCTGTCGAAAAATAAGCATGACCGCTGTTAACAGTCAAACAGCTGTGTGCAGGGAAATGTTTATGTGACAGCGCCTTACTGAATCACGTGATCCTCACGCACTCGCGTCATTCGTTCGGGCTCCGCCCTCTTTTATTAACACGTTCATCACCGTACAACTGTTCTTCCCTTACTAGGGCATCAAAAATGTCAGTAAACATAATTATAGTAATACTGATGATAGCGTGGTTTATCATCTTAATTTTTCTATATTCGTATAGTGCTCGGTTATTAATCAAGTTACAAAAACGTTACCACAAATAAACAGAGCTACGTTTGGAAACTGAGAGCGTCCCATGTAGAATTCTGCTATGCAACCAAATAAAAATGGTAATAATATATTGATTATTATATTTTATTAATTAATAATTTGAATGCACTTAAATAAGAGTTAATTGGCTTAAATACTGTACAAACGTATGTATAAATAATATATTGTAACCTATTCACACACACACACACACCCATAGTGTATAAATATAGAACTAAAATAAATAATACATATAAATTAAATATATGCATAAATGCCATCTATCCACCCATCATGGAGCCTATTTTATTGTATGTACATATACTACTATATATTATTATAAATTATGTATTTTAATACACTTAAACATAAGAGTTATACTTAGGCCTAATAGATACACATCAATAATATAAATATATATAATACATATATATATATTAGTGCTGTCAGACGTTTAATCGCAATTAAAATAAAATTTTTGTTTGCATAATATATATATGTGTGTGTTCTGTGCATATTTATTATGTATATATAAATACACACACATACAGTATATATTTTGAAAATATATACTTACATATATTATGTAAACAAAAACTTTTATTTTGGACGCGATTAATCACGATTAATCATTTGACAGCACTAATATATATATATATATATACAGTATATGGCATAATAAAATAGTGTATATATGTAAAATAAATACAATACACATCACAGAATTCAGCTACATTTGTACATACAGGAGGCTTGAAATTAATTAAATTGATTTTGTTTAAAAAAAAAAAAAAAAAAATATATATATATATATATATAAAAAAAATTAGGAGATTGTGGTTGAGTGAAAAGAAAGAAACACTTTACTGACCTCCATTATCTGGGACTGATGACATTCGTCCCTCATGATGTTCATGCATGACAGAATGATGATATCCTTACAGACACTCAACTCTGGCACCTTGCGTTCCCAATGACCAGATCTGAACATTTGAAAACTTTTATGGCAGGTTCAGGCATGCAGTGTGCAGTAGATTTCCCACTTCGTCCCCTTCCACACAGACTACAGGACATGAACGACTTGCATTCAGAAAATAAATACAGGCAAAGGGTGGCACTTCTATGGCCCATTGTCAGTGCTGGGCTAGATACTCAAAAAATGTAATATATTACTCATTACTAGTTACTCCTTTCAAAAGTAATACTATTACTTTACTTAATACTTTCTGACAACAATAATTAGTTACACTACTAGTTACATTACTTTTCTTTCACACCCCACAGAAGTTGTAATTGAATATCTTCCCCATAAAATTCTTCTGAAATGTTACTAACAATATATTTCTGCTTCATCATTTGACCAAAATCCACACTGGATCGCAGTCAGATGTTATTACAAACACTCAGCGGTGATTAATAGTAACGTTTAAGTAAAAGTGTTGTTGTCACAAATCAAGCCTCCGTGGCTCCCTCCGATCCCCACCAGAGGGAACCCTCACCGGAGTACTAACTGTTCCTTAGGACTTCATTTCCCATCATCCCATGCCTGACTTTGATTACTTGCACAGGTGCTGATCATTACCATGACTATATAAGCAGTGTCTGCCTTACCCTCGTTGCGAAGTCTTGTTTTGCTACTGCTGACATTTCCGAGCGTTTATACCTTGTTTGATTACCTGTTGCCTACCTGGATTGTTTAGACCTGTCTGATTGTTCGCTGCCCGCCTCTTTGATCTTGCTCTGTGTTTGGAATTACTCTCTCCTCTGTCTGCCGCCAGCCTCGACCCCTTTGCATGGTCTCTGATTACGATTCTGCCTTGCCTACTTTACCCCTGTATGCTGTCGACTGA